TGACAGAGTGAACAACAGAGAGAGAGAGAGAGAGAGAGAGAGAGAGAGAGAGAGAGAGAGGAAAGTGAGAGAGAGAGCCACCAGGTCCAGTACTCAGACCAGTACTCAAGGTCAGCCATGTGGGAGTTCAGCGCCCTTAACTACCAACGCCACCTGCTGGCCCCAAGAGTTGATTTCTAAGACCTTTCCAACTGCACTTACCTTATCCCATACCCTCAGGTTAACCCTGAGACTGTGGGGCAGAAAGAACATGGTTGTCTAATGTTTGGAATTTTCTTTTTTTCAGAAGCTGTTCTTCTCAGAGTCCTCCTCAGATTATCCCTTTTGTATTGTATCGGGAAGCCTTTTCCAATAAGCACTTCGAGGTGAGTTTCCTGGGAGAAAGAAGAGCTGCTGTCAAGGTTGGTTTTCAGTCAATTGGCTGAATCCTTCTCTAAGAAATTTACTTTGATGCTTTTTCTTTCTTTTGTTTTTATATTTTTTAAGCTTATTTTTACTGATTCTTATTTTTTGCCTGAAGTAGATAATACATACATACTGAAATTTCCAAATAGTTTTTAATTATTGAATAAGAGTTCACTGAGTCTCAGAATTTTTAGTTAGACCCAAATAAAGCCATGGCTTGCCGTGCAGATTCAAGTTTCTTATAACTGCTTACCAATGATACCGTGGATTAATGAACTGAACCATGATACATGGGATTAATGAAATAGGAAGGAATGATTTTCAGTGTCTAATAGCATATCATATTTGGGCAGTTCTGAAAGTGACACTTAAACAGTTCTGGCCCAGTGCAACTTCCTTTAGTACCTGGGCCTTCCCACCTCAGCCTGGCTCTAGGGCACCTCATAAAATCAGCATTCTGATTAATATGCTGTTCTGACACTCTGCAAAAGACTTGAACTCCTCAGTATGGCTTTGCCTTCAATCTCTTCATTTTCTCTTTTCCAGGTTTCTGGCTACCCTACCTTCTTTCCCCTTATACCTATCTTGTCCTTTAGATTTGACCTCTCCTGCTTCCTGGTTATTATCTTGACACATTAATGCTGCTTCTCTGACCCGACGTAGACAATTTGGATTATGTCCAAATTGATATTTCTGTCTTGACTTCAGTCAGGGATTCTCTCTGGGAAAAGATGCATACTAGTAGCTCCTTGATTGTAAAGGATATTTATGCATTACACATGTGCCATGGTTCTTGATCTCTTGTTCCTATGTAGTTGAGATTAATTTTTGCATTTGGCTTTAGCAGAAGACTAACACAATTGTTAAAAGACAGTAATGAATTAATCGATGAAAAGTGGAAAAAGAAATTCTCAAATGTAGTACACTTATATCATACAGATACTTAGAACAGATCCCACAACCCTAGATGAAATGAAAGAGGCTTTTAAGCCACACACAGATGATGTTAGAAAGTTCAGACCTTCAGATGATGTTTTTGGGCCAGCTGGTAGTGTGGTGCTTAAGGTGGCTGGACCCCACATGGCTGACTGTGGTTAGAGTCCTGGACCAAGTGACTTGAAAAACATACTGGGTGCATGTGCATGTGTACCCAAAATCCTGAAAGGAAAATGGAGGAGAAGGACTGCAGCATGACCATACCTTATGGAGGATGCTTTCTCACTTTCTCTCTGTCTCTGTCTCTCTCCAGTGAGCACATGTACTTTCTGGCAAATTAAAACAAAACCTGGCATGTTTAGTTTACTTAGAGCCTCTTTCTTTATTTGTATTTCCGCTTAATGTTAATAAATAACTCCCTAAGGAGAACTTAGTATGATCTAAATGCTTTGTGTATTGTAGCTAATTTAATACTAATAACAATTCTGTGAGGCATATACTATTGTAATCCCTAATTAAAAGATGAGGAAATTGGGACAAGCAGATGGCATAATGGTTACATCACTGAACTCCCATGTAGTCGACCGTGGTTCGAGTCCCAGACCCAGTGGCTTAAAATTCACGCCAGGTGTTGGGACCAGCAGTTAGCGTAATGGCTATGTCGCTGGACTCCCATGTAGTCGACCGCGATTCGTGTCCCAGACCCAGTGGCTTAAACTCATGCCGGGCACGTGTGTGTATGCGCGTCCAAGATCCCGAGAGGAGAATGGAGGAGAAGGGATTGCAGCATGGCCATCCCCTCTGGGGGGTGATTTCTTGCTTTCTGTCTCTCTGACTCTCTGTCTGGCGAACACACGCGCCCTATAGCAAAAACCTCTCAAAAATAAAAAAAATTCACGCCAGGTGTGTATGCATGCGTGCCCAAGATCCCAAGAGGAGAATGAAAGAGAAGGGATTGTGGCATTGCCATCCCCCCCGGAGGAGGATTTCTTGCTTTCTGTTTCTCTGTCTCTGTTTGTCTATCCAGTGAGTGCATGTGCCCGATAGCAAAAATCTCTCTTAAAAAAAAAAAAAAAAGATGAGGAAATTAAGTCTTGGACAAATTAAGTCACTAGTGCCAAGTCGCACAGGTAGCTGGGTAAGATCTAAATTTCAAACCCAAGGATGTAACCACTTGTTATAGTGATTTTTGAATTCTCTAATTTGTAATTCTAAGAAGTCTTGTTTCTCAGAACACAGGAGGTTAGAAGTTACAAATTTAAAAGAGAGAATGGTGACCTACGATTCTCACTTTACTGTCTTTCTCTTAATAAAATAATTACCAAAGAATGCAAAGATACTGTATGCAGGGGAGTTCTGTACAGTGTTAGTTAACTGTTATTATAGCAAAATAATTAAAGAATATACAAATTCAGTGATAGCAGAAATAATTAAATAACTAAAGTACCACTTTCCACACTTTAATATGTATACTAATTACCTGGATATCTTGTTAAAATACAGGTTTTGATTCAGTGGATCTGTGGTAGGGCCCAAGATTCTGCATTTCTAGCAATTCTTAGATAATTGTGCTTTGCTGATCTACAGAGCCCACTGTGAGTAAGAAGGAATTTCAGTACACCAAGGTTGTATGTTTGTTGAGGACAGGTCTGGGACTACGGAGAGCTGAGTTGATGCCTTAGGTTCCCACTCATCTCTTCTATCCTAGTCCTTGGTACAGTCAAGTTTTTAAAAGCTGTTCAATGCCTCTAAGTTATGCTTATAACACAGTTAAGAGAAAATTTGAAAATGGTACCTGTACTATTACACCAATTTAAATTAAGAACTACCTTTATATGTGTGTGTGTATGTACATATGTATATGTTTATGTATGTGTATGTATGCTTAACAAACTCTGGAAGGAGACCACGTTGAAAGTTGTTGCTCTCTGAGTGATAAGTTTACAGATGGCACATGCTTTCATTTTTATATATTTGACATTTTTCAATTTTACTAGTAAACTTCCATAACTTTCTAGCTGTGTTTATGATTATTAAAATCATTAAGGCTTTCAGGTAACCATATATTCAGGCTTGGTTCATGACGACCTAGCTTTGGAGGAAATATTTACTTCGTCTCACCCACATATCTCTCTTCAACCTCCCCAAAATTCATCTACTAATTTTTTCCTCACTACAAATGTGTAAACCATTTAATGATTTGGTAGGGACTTCAGATTAGGGCAGCTTTTACCTACATAAATAATTAGTTTTTGCTATATCTTCATACACTTGCCAGAGAGAAACAGACAGATAGGAACAGGGGTAGTGAGAAATCACCCCCCAAAGGAGATGATCATGCCACAATTTCCTTCTCCACTTTCCTCTTGGGACTTTGGGCATGTAAGCACACATACCTGGCATGATTTTTAGGCTCCTGGGTCTGGGACCTGAACCACGTAGTCAGACATCAAGTGGGATCAAGCACTTTAACCTCTATGCCACCTGTTGGGCCCAGGATATATTTATAAGAAGATTAATGAATAAATACCTTTATATGAGTAATTATGGGTTAGACTTATAAAATTCTACTTTTCAATATTTATTGATAGTATTATCTAGGTAGTGTAAGTTTGTTTAGAATGTGAAATTTGCATATGTATTCAACTACTAAAAAATTAAATATAAAAAATACCTTTTACCTTACCTTGCCTCCTCTGCCACTGAGGTACACTCAGCAGAGTTTTAGATGGAGATCTATCTTCCTTTCTTTCTTTATAAAAATTGCTAGATGGTGCGTGTGTTTATGAGAGAGAGAGAGAGAGACCCCTCAATGGCATGTGGTCATGCCATAATCCTTTTCCCTTCATTTCTCCATCTTGTCAGGATTTTGGACATGCACATGTACCTGACATGTTTTTCAAGCCATCAAGGCTGGGATTTGAAATGTAGTTGATCCATTTCCTTTAACCACTGTGCTGCTTGGCTGGCCCAGTCTTTCTTTTGGCTTTTGAAGCTCATTAACCTAAATCTAAAGTCATGTACTTGACTTTAGTTTAAAGCTCATTAACCTAAATCTGAAGTCATATACTTGACTCATAGTATGGAACAAGGAAAAAAGAAGCAAGGAAACAGGATGGGAAAGCCTAATGCATTTAAAGCATGACTTTTTTAAGTATTACAAATTTCATGAAAATGAACCACATTAATATTAAAAAATAACTTAAAATATACCTTTTAAGATTAAATTAAATAATATTTGTATAAATTGCAACTTAGGATAGCCCATATCACTTTTCATTAGTATAAATATTAAGGGTAAGCTGTAAACATCAAAATAATCCTGGTCAGGGGATTTATAGAACTGGTCATGAGGTAGTAAGGGGGTCTGGAATTACCCTCAGACTTTAAGCAACCATGAAACTGGACAAATATAGAAAATAATTATTTTCAGTCATTGGATGACAGAGCAAGACTGGTTCCCAAGAAAAGGGAAACAAAGAGAGCCCTAAATGACCCAAGCTTTCTTCTTGGGGGGACTTTTAGACTGTAGTGGAAGATTGGGAAACATAAAAAAAAGAGTCTGGCAGTTTCTTTGAGTTGAGTAGACAGAGGTCAAAGTTCAGGGAAGTTGAAGTGGCTAAAATTTGAAGAATAGAGTTCTGGAGAGGAAGCAGATGGCCAGAGAAAAAAATTCCTGAAGTTTGGAGAGGGTGCTTTTGGGAACTTGACTGTGCATGTACAGGGTAAAACTCGAAGAAGCTGGTAAGGACAACTCATGAGAAAAGAAATGTTTCTAGCTTGGTATAAGTTTAGAGCAAAATTAGCCCCGAGGTAAAAATTTCTTTGCCTAAGTCCTAAATGAACTTAAAACCAAGCTTTGAAAGAATCAACTTAATCTACAAATATACTAAACAACAACAACAACAACAAAAACCCACTTATTTCTTCCATGAGAGACAGACAGGCACACCCAATAGAGTTCTCACGAGTGATCCATCTTAAGACCCAGCCAGCCCAGATCACAGGTATGTACTCATGTTCG